TAGGGTAGGACTGGCTTTGCCGGAATGTCCGTATTCTCCTGGACATTAGTAGTGACCCCGAGGATCAGAACCCTGGCCGGGGGTGGATGTGAAGCAGAAACTGTTACTTGTTATGGTTGTTGTTGCTGTTGAAGCCTGGCGATTAAGTCAACCTGCTGGGCTGCAATTTCCACTTGACGGGTGGTGACTTCTGCTTGGCGAGCAGCATCCAGCTGCATGGCCTTGATAGTTTGTTGAAGTTAACGCAACATATCCTCCATGTTGTCTACGGGGTGCTGATCTATCAGAACCGGTATGTGCTCTCTTTCTGAAGTGGAAGCAGAAAATTAGGCTTCGCTGTGCACAGGTGGAGTAGACAGACTTCACTGAATGAAGGTAACTGTCGAACCGGTGAGTTATGCCTGACCCTCCTCTATCTTGTAACCGGGAGTAGCGAAGCAAACACTGGTTGTCCTCCAATAAGATCCTAAGATCTGTAAATCCTCCTGACTCGAGTCCAGAGTGCTCGGGGGGTAACTGCCTTGTCTGAAACAATCGTGAAATACTACCTTGCAAAAAGAAAATAAAGCAAAAAGAGACAAAAATCAAAAAAACGCACAGCACCTTGGCTCAGACAGAAATAACACGCAGTTGTAATCATAAGCTGAACAGTCTATACTCAAACACTATTTTATGTCCCAAACTGATACCCTCAAACTAATACCCAGACTTTCAACTGATACATACATTCCTGCAGAGTTTCACTCTAAAAGCACGTATCAAGCAAGTGAGAGCCAAAACACCCCTATGGTCGGGTAGGGTTATCTTGTCCTACTTTCGTCAGGAACTAGGGATTCGCTACATTCGGGTGAGCAACATGTCCTAGTTTGGAACAGTCTCCAGGGCTTTCGATATGCAACTAGGTCGATTGGTCAAAAAGGATGTCTCAGCAAGACCACCTAATATACCTCTCGCTCCTAACACCAATAAGTGAAAGGAGGATCAAACGGTACAACGGTAGCCCAGATCCGGTTTGTGTTCCCATCGTGGCAGAGCCCTCAACCGGTCAGCCTTATGGCAAGCTTTTCTAAGCAAGCCTCTAGCAAACCGCTCAGGAATAGCAGATGGCAAACACTGTGACTTAGACGCACCGATGCAAACGCAAATGCAAAGAAACATATAAGTGTAGATAAAACAACATATCATGAGTTCGAGTCAAGTTCTCTAACTCCCCAGCAGAGTCGCCAGAAACGGTGGCTCGACTTTTTCGCTCCCCTCTTTTTTGGAGGGCTCGAATTGGTCCTACAGTTCAAACTCATGTCATGATTCTGAATCTAATCTCACAAAGTGCAATGCGAGACTGATAAACACCAAAGAGTCCAAATCTGGCAAATCGTTTTGGAAAATTAATTTTGAATCAAAAAGCGCCAAAAATGGACTACTTTGTCAGATTACAGAGTCGCCACCTAAATATTTTTAGTTTTGGAGAAATTTAGGAAACACTGACTCGTGCCAAAAGTCACGTGTCTATCATCACCAAAGTTGCCTCGGCTCGGGAACTTCGGTACGAGGGGGGAAGGTCATGAATTGAGCACCCCCGCTCGCCCGATCGAAGGATCGGCATCTACTAATCATGATATGTTGTTTTATAAATCTTATGCGTTCTTCTCCAATTATTAGACTAGTTTTACTATGTGACGCACACAAGCAAGTATAGACTAGATCGCAAGAATTAGAACGAATTCAACTCATGTTTGTTCTCGAAAATTGTTTGAATTTGCCACCCTCAAGTGGGCTAAAACGCGGATTTGCTATCAAACATGATGGGCGTAAAACATGATTTGCCACCTTAAGTGGGCTTAAAACTCTCATTTGTTGAATTGTTCCAATTCAAGCAACAAAGCCTTCATCCATAGGCATTCATGCAATTTAGCAAATAAGCACATAGTCTCATGGCAAGCATGCGAATCATGGTAATATGGCAAGCACACTCATGCAAATATGTTAAAGCATAAAACTTACCGAGTACTCCAAGCCAAAACCAAAAAAAAAAAAACTAGTTAGAAAGAATGCATGATCCTAACTATGTAAGATGCCTAATGCAACACATGCAATATGAAATTAATAAGCTCGGCTACTAATATGGTATATGATACAATTTGATAACAAGCTTTGGAACACGTATTCAAATAAGTATTGAAATTGCAATGCAGTTTGAATGATGCGCCGAGCCTCGGTGCATACAAAACAAATGAATAGATGCAAACATGCAAGCATAAGGTATACTAATTGAAAATGACCCTAATCTAACCATCGAAAGCAATTAAATAAAAGGGAGAAAAACGTGAGGTTGGAAGACATGCACACACGCACGCACACTTATTACAACATTACGTCCTCTCGAAGGAGGGTTCGAATGAATAAGCTAAGCTATGCTAATTAAGCTAATTATTACAAAACGAACTAACTAACTATTCTAGTTAACTAATTATTACAAATCAATTGAAACTAATTAACTAACTTATTCTAAGCTAATTAATTACAACAAATTGAAATTGAAGAACTAGTTACACAAACTAATTAAGTACAACTCTTGAATTGAATAATTAGCTATGCTAACAAATTAAAGCAATTAAATGGCCTCAAGGGCGAGGGACGCATGCATGCTCAATTGGTTTCCTCCAGAAAATCCACCGCCTTGCCTTTAGATGCCTCTATTTGCACTCGTTGACCTCTGAAAATTGCACCAACTTCCAGAACACCCCTGCTCCACCTCAGGAACATATTGAGCAAACTTTTCATTGATGGGCGATCGGCCACAAAAGGTGGCTGTCGGCCACTGCTGGTGGCCGGTCGGCCACCGCTTCCTTGGAATTCTCCTTTTTGCTGCAACAGAGGCAAAACAGTGTATTCTCAAGCAATATATGTACTATTACCATCCTTATCATTACACAAGGTCAAAGGAGTGTAATTCTTAGCTCCCAAGCCATCAACCAAGCATTTTCAATGCATGATGGCTAGAAAACCAAGCTTGTACAAGGTCATTGAATGCACAAACAAGACAAAAACAACCACCACCCTATCATGCATGATCAAGGATGATGGTGACCAAGAAAAGTGGCACGTTTCATCACTTTGAGTATGAAATGTCCCATTTTTCTCATGTTCGAATTAACGTCCGATCCGAACACATGCAATGCAACACAAAGATGCTCAGCTTGCCCCTTTTACTTTGTTCATTTTGTTTACTCATTTTACATTACCGATTAGTCCTTTAATCGATTAAGTCCAAGGTGATTGTCCTTTAATGGAAAGAGGGCTTGAACCACAAGTGCCTTGAGCATGAAAAAGGCCTCATGCCGTTGGTTAGTGGAAACCCTCAAAAGAGGATTAAAACCATTAGGCACAGGTGTCTCAATTTCACACTCAAGCCAACAAAAGGTTCAAAGCCACTTTCAAAATAAATGAAAGAGTGAAGAATAGAAGGAGATAGCAGAGATTTTAATGTTAAAATGGAGTGCAAAATGGCATTAAATCATGCAAGTAACTCATGCAATACATACTAAAAGCCTAAAATATTAAGCTAGTGAAAGAGATTGCACCACAACCACACAATACAATCCACAAAGGACCAAACCAACCCAAAATAGAGTTAAAACCAGTCAAAATAATGGCTAAAACATGCTGAGATTGAGATACAAAATGCTAGAAAAACATGTTCACATGTTAGCTTGCAAACAAGACTCAAGACACAACTCTCAAAAGCAATGAAAGAGTGAAATAAATGAGCATGTGGCAGAGCCATATACACTGAAACTACATGTAAAATGACACTACAACATGCAAGCAACTCATGCAAATCATGTTTGAAGCCTTAAAATAATGAGCTAGTGAAGACTATTACACTATAGCCATGCAATACAAGCCTCAAAGGACTTAACCAGTCCAAAACAAAGCTAAAACATGCCAAAATAGTAGCCAAGACATGTTGAAATTAAGCTAACAGAAGCTACAAAAACATGCAGCCATGTGATGCTAACTAGGCATGCAAGTGAGACACAAGGAGGGAAGGCTAACCCCTCCATTTTTGGACTTCAAAACATATTTTTCACCACTGAAATAACTCTGAATTTCAATGGTTTAAAGACCCAAAAAGTTTGATTCTATTATGCTAAAAGATGGTGCAAAAAGCTTCACAATTAGGCAACAAGAAGGGTAGACTATCCCCCAACACAAAATGACTTCAAACCGTCATATTAAGCTTCAAAAATCAGAGTTTTTTATAGCTGAAAACTTGGCCACTAAATATTTAGTCGCCAATAGGTTGAAAAATTAATTAAATAATACATTTTTGCCGACCAATTTTTTTGTCGCCAAAAGCCAATGATTTAGTTGCGGAAAAATTTTTAGCTACTAAATTTTTTAGTCGCCTAAAGCAAATACTAATGTTTTGGCTACTAAAATTTTAGTCGCCTAAAGTCCATCTTTTTTGGCTACTAAAAATTTTGTCGTCTAAACTTCTGCATTTTTAGCTACTAAAAATTTAGTCGCCTAAACTCCCACATTTTTGGCTATTAAATTTTTAGTCGCTAAAAGTATTTTTATTCTTCAACTTTTGTTTTTAACTACGAAATATTTTAGTCGCCAAATGTTTGATTTTCTTTTGGCTACAAAACTTTTAGTAGCCAAAGGTTTGATTTTATTTTGGCTACAAAACTTTTAGTAGCCAAATAGTTGTTTTTCTTTTGCCTACAAAAAATTTAGTAGCCAAATGTTTGATTTTCTTTTGGCTACAAAACTTTTAGTAGCAAAATGATTGTTTTTTTTTCCCCCCCCCTTTTTTTTTTTGCTACAAAACGTTTAGTCAGCAAAAACATGATATTATGTTTTATTACAATGTCCATAACCTATTTGTATTCCATGCAACCTGTAATACGTATATAAATAAAATGATACATAAACTATCAATCATTCCACAATCTGCATCCGTATACAAAAAATAAATTACTTTAACTGTCCAAGTACATAAAAACCAACTATTGTCCAAACTAATATAATAATTCCATACAACATATAGAATTATACAAAAAGTAAAGTCCTCCATATACAAAAATTACATTTACTATACCATGTGAAATGACCATTTGGCATAGTACAAATTACCATCGTAATATGTACCACGACAAAAGGTGATGCATGTACCAAGCCAAAAGTACATCTATGTACCACAACAAAAAATCATATATCTGTACAGGGACAAAAGGTGATCTATCTACCATACCAGTAATTATCTGTTCGCTACCAAAAGTTTTCTTTATCAGTAATAGTTAACTGCACAAAAGCCGAAGATGACAAAAGTATTATATTACTTCTATACAAAAATACAATTTCTTCTCCATACACCAAAATATCTCTGGAAGTCCACGCAACAAAGTCATCTACAAAAAACCAAAAAAACATTAGAATTGGACCCAAAAATGCCCAACTTCATGAATGAATTTGGCAACAAGTGACAAATAAAAATAAGTGAGAAGCAATCTTCCATGATGAATCAATTATCAGTCATTCTACAGTCTTTCTAAAGTCTTTTGTTATAAGGAACATTGTTAAATGCAGAACAATCATTACTAAATCTTTCATTAGTAACATAAACCTAATGTAACAATCTTCTATTTGTATGCAACATGTACGTTCAAAAAATTAACAAGTTTAAAACAAGGCGTAAATTGAGTTCATATTGGTTTCTGAATATTTTTCCCATAATTTTCCATTACTATACATCTCCAATACATTCCGTCAGTTGTCACAAGTCTTATTTGTAATGGGGAAGCAGCTCGTGAGAGTCAGACGGAGGTTCGGGGGCTGTTTTGAAGTTTCGCCCCCGAAACGCCATTTTTCAACTAAGTTTTGGACGTATTCGACTCTAAATCCCAACTTACGGGTCCGAATAACATTCAGTCAGTTGTCACAAGTCATATTTGGCATGGCAAAGCTGTTTGTGTCGGCCACACAGCAGTTCGGGGGCTGTCTTGAATTTTTGCCTCCCAAACGCCCTTTGTCGACTAACATTTGGGCGTATTCGGCTCTAAATCCCAACCTATGGGTCCGAATAATATTCCGTCAGTTGTCACAAGTCCTATTTGTAATGGGGAAGCTGCCCGTGAGAGTCAGACGGAGGTTTGGGGGCTGTTTTGAAGTTTCGTCCCCGAAACGCCCTTTTTCGACTAAGTTTTGGGCGGATTCGGCTCTAAATCCCAACCTACGGGTCCAAATAACATTCCGCCAGTTGTCACAAGTCATATTTGGCATGGGAAAGTTGTTTGTTTCAGCCACACGGCGGTTCAAGGGCTATTTCGAATTTTTGCCCCCGAAACGTCGTTTTTCGACTAAGTTTTGGGCGTATTCGTCTCTAAATCCCAACCTACGGGTCTGAATAACATTCCGTCAGTTGTCACAAGTCCTATTTGGCATGGAGAAAGTGTTCGTGTCAGCCACACGGCGGTTCAAGGGCTGTTTTGAATTTTCGCCCCCGAAACGCCCTTTTTCGACTAAGTTTTCGATTAAGTTTAAGCCGTTTCCAATTCTAACTCCCAACCTACACGTGCTAATGACATTTCATCTATTGTCACAGGTCCTATTTGACGTGAGAAAACTAGTTGGGACATCCATTCGGTGTTTCGAGGGCTGTTTTGCATTTTCACCCCCCTTAACGCCCTTTTTCGGTTAAGTTTAAGCCGTTTTCGGCTCTAACTCCTAACCTACACGTGCTAATGACATTCTGTCTCTTGTCACAGGTCCTATTTGACATGAGGAAACTGGTTGTGACGTTCGTATGGTGGTTCGGGGGTGTTTTGCATTTTCGCCCCCTTAACGCCCTTTTTCGGTTAAGTTTAAGCCATTTTCGGCTCTAACTCCCAACCTACATGTGCTAACCACATGCCGTCTAATGTCACAGGTCCTATTTGACGTGAGAAAACTAGTTGTAACATCCATACAGTGATTTGAGGGCTGTTTTGCATTTTCACCCCCTTAACGCCTTTTTTTAGTTAAGTTTAAGCCGTTTTCGGCTCTAACTCCCAACCTACACGTGCTAATGACATTTCGTCTCTTGTCGCAGGTCCTATTTGACATGAGGAAACTGGTTGCAACATTCGTACTGTGGTTCAGGAGTGTTTTGCATTTTCGCCCCCTTAACGCCCTTTTTCAGTTAAGTTTAAGCTGTTTCCAACTCTAACTCCCAACCTACACGTGCTAATGACATTTCATCTGTTGTCACAGGCCCTATTTGAAGTGAGAAAACTAGTTGTGACGTCCGTTCGGTGATTCAAGGTCTGTTTTGCATTTTTGCTCCCTTAACGCCCTTTTTTCGGTTAAGTTTAACCCGTTTTCAACTCTAACTCTCAACCTACAAGTGCTAATGACATTCCGTCTATTATCACAAGTCCTATTTGACGTGAGGAAACTGGTTGTGACATCCATGCGATGGTTCGGTGGTTGTTTTGCATTTTCCCCTCTTGTAAAACCTTAAGGTTAATCAAGAATTGGCATTTACATGACAAAAATATGAGAGCAATACTACATTCACTAAAATTTTCACTAAAACACATTTGATGTTTCAAGAATGTCTAAGAAAAATGATATACAAATCAACTTTTTAGATCAACTTTTTATGTCCAGTGATGTGCAAGTAAGATGATTGATTGATGATTTGAGAATAAATAAGAGAAAAAAATTAATTTATATATTTTAATAAAGTGTCATATCATTATGTTTAAAAAATGAGTCTAACATTAAGTGCTGAAAAGCCATGATAATAACACTGCATTCCTAGTGAAAACACTGAAAACATCGACCTAAAAATTTACAACTGAACATCATATGAAATCAATAGTGCAAATTCAATAAGGGTTGTTAACCCGAGTTCTTGCTTGTAAATGGAACAGTTAGGAGTTCTATAGATGCAGAAGAATAAAATTGCCACCAGGATAGATAGCAAGGATCTCACATACCAAACTTTGTAAATATTTTTTTGTGATTATTTCTGTGCTGTAAATATGAAGACACTTCAAGAATGCCTGGTAATCATCTGAACTATGCAACCTCTCCTTCACTTGCACATAGAAAATGAACTCTTGCTTGTACATGCCTGGAATGATATTGAGCAAACCACAAATAAAAGAAGTTAAGAAATAAGAGTATAGCAAGCTTATTCAACATGTGGCAGCAATCCAACTGAAAACCATAAGAGAGAAGCTGACATTTTTGAACTTCAAAGCAGTGAGATAAAATTAAGCATATGCATGTTCTCCAAAGAAATCAAACAATAAGCAACATGGGGAGATCAGAGTTCAGGAAAAAGGGAAATGAGATGAAATGAAGCATATGCATTCTCCATCAATGCAGTCATTTTCCAACCTCCAAAAAATTCCACAACATTTTAAAAGATTTAGCATCATGTATATGTGACGTAAAAGCTGACTTCACAATGACTACAAAACATAATAAATCACAACTGCTTTTACATCAAGAAGGCTAGAATCACAAACAAAAAGACTAAAAGGAAAAATCAATATCATTTTTGGAAGGCATCTTTATAATCATAAGTGGCATCATCAACTAACTTCTCAAGGCTTCTTTATCATCATAAGAGGATAAAACAAGATTCACTCCAAAGTCTTCAACCTTTCAGGCAGATTTCCTTTTGTCATGAAACCATTGCATGTTGAAGTCCCTATTGCTATCAAGCTCGGTAAACCTTCAATCCAAATTCAACCAAAAATAAGACAAACAATCCCAACCATATAAAAAAATTCTAATATGAGCTTATATAGGTGTAGAAGTGATTGACACAAAGTTTAAAATAACTAAAGCCTAATGGGTATGGAAACATGGAATTAGGAAATGGTACAAAAGATTGTATAGCAAAAACAAGTAATGTCAGCACAAACCTAAAGCAAAATCACCAGCCTAAATACTCTACCCCAGGCCTGCTAACCAATCCCCCTAATGCAAACTTTGACTTTTTGCAAGTTGAAAATAATATTATTAATTGAAATATCCAAGGAGGGGCAAGATACTTTGATCCACATTGCAATCCTTAATTTAATAGTCTCACACAGCTCCCCTATATATGGCTGTGACCCCTTAAGAATGCAATTATTCCTCTATTTTGAAATGGAATGGCCTTCCAGATGATATTATTCTGTTTTTAAAATTTAATACCAGCTTACCATTGTAGTAAGCAATTCACAGAGCCAGGTACTACCCATTGCAAGCCTCACCATCTGATAATATGAGACCAAACCTTCTAGATAAAAGGACAAAAGAGTAACACATGGTTTAAGTCTTCCCCCTCTTCATTACAAAAAATGAAGTTTACATTAGCTTCACCACTTAGAATGCTTCATGTGATAGTGTTACTCATGCATATATCTAAGGTGTCTAGTATAATAACCCATGTAAAAAAAAGTTAGAAGTCAAATAAAGCTAGTAAAGAAATGGTGATGAAGAAGGAAAGCCTGCAATGCAAGGCAAGGACTAAATTTGTCATAGTTAGTAATGTGATAGGACAGAGTGATAACTTCTTGAAAATCAACAATATTTTGTCATAGATATATTATGAAAGCTGACCCATTTCTGGATAGATCAGCTAAAGCTGATTAGGTTTTAGTTGTTGCCTTTTGTTTTGTTAGTGCCTTGCCCTGAGCAACAGATATACTATTCGGAAAGGGTGTAGCTGTATTAAAGAAGAATACTTAGATGATTAGACCCCATTACTCTGACCAAAAATAAGAGAAAGAGAGACAGCCTTGAGAATTTTCATTATCTATAATAGAAAGCAAAACCAACATGAAACTCAAGAAAACTCCCACCTCTCACACCCACCAAACTCAACTACGTAAAACAAGGATTTAAGGTTATCACATCCACATTCTTTTTGATAAAGATACAACCAGCAAGTATGAACCAATATAATCTTCCATTGGCTCACAAGAAAGGTCTGAAGAACAAATTTACTAATGTAGAAGACCTACAACACAATTTGATAAAAACAAGAATCAACACACACAGGTTGGGAGAAAATACACAACAAATGATGAGAAACAGGCACAACCAGGTAAAAGCACCAAATATAACAAGGAGAATACTAGTCTGAAGCTGTCAACGACTAGATGCAGCCTGTTAGTGCACTATTCGTTATTTTCTACTTGAAATCTTTAATCATATACATTGTTTTGGTAGAAGCAACAAGCAAACAGCATAGATTCATAACTAAACACGAGTTCAAATTACCCAACTGTATATATGGGAAGCATCAATATTAAAACAAACATGTTTCATATAAAACAAAATCAAGGTAAATATAACAAAACAAGGTGATTGGCTTTTTTATGAGATTAAGAAACAAGGACTAGTAAGATGAGAAATTACCATCCAACAATGACTTCTTTTGGGTTCACCTTCAGGTGGGATTGTAGCATATTATGATGATAGTCTACATCCAGTGCAACCTACAACCATAACAAACAAAAAATAATAAAAATTGGGGACAAAGGAATAAGAAATAAGAAGTAAGAAGAATACACTAGATGGCCCTCGTGTGAACACGTACACACAAATCTCTCACTATTTGGTGGAACTAGTGTCTAGTAAGGAACTATTAGAACAAATTTCAGTGAATGGATAAATTTTTTTTGTAAGTACTTTTTTGTGAATGAATGAATGAACTGGATTTAGGCCAACATTGTTTCCTTACTCAATTCCTCAAAGAATTTCCACATATCTAAAAATTTAATACTCTCATTTTCCCCCAATTCAGAACTACAATTGCCCTGCAAATCCATTGCTATGAACAGATATCTTTCTACCAATTTGTGAAAGTTCAAACCTAGTAAAAGTCTACAAATTAGCTTCTTTTTTTTTTGGACAGTATTAGGGAATCTCCAGCCTTGACACAAAACTATATCAAATTCAAATTTAGGTATTAAAAAAAACACTCAAAAAACCTCTCTACTATCACATTGAGTTTTACCCATTTTTAACCCAAATTAAGGGAGATTTCAAATCTACAATTTGTTCATAATCTGAGTTTATCGTGTTTCATATCAAATAAAACTAAACGTAGGAGTTGTAGTTTTTGAGCGTTTCTCTTATTTTTCATCTAGTTTTTTTATTATTATTATTTTTTCTCGAGAAACAAACAGAGTGCGAAGGAAAGGCGGAAGCAAAACCTGATTAGAGGACCCATTGTGAGGAACAGCTCAAGAGTTGCGAATATCGACGGTGCCGTCGGGCAAGACAGAGCCGAGAAGAGTTCCGATGACCCGCTCGGCCTCGTCGGGTCGCCGGATGTAGCAGTCACAGATGTTGAAGACCACCAGAGGATGGACATTCGGTGCTGAGAGAGAGATCGTGAGGATGCCCGGTCGTAAGGTTTGATCGCCGTGAGGTTTGTTGATTTGCGGTGGTGAGGTTTGCTGAGAGAGAGGTTTTGTGGTTGTGGTGTATACACAGAGAGGGTAAAAGACTGAAAAACAGGCGCGAATCGAGATTTATTCCCTCTAAATTTTTGAGCTTCCACGACTAAATGATTTATTTGTCGGGAAATGTAAATAATTTCATGTCATTTGGCGACTAAAATGGGTAAAAAAATCTGACTAAATATTATTTTAGCCTAAATTATAGGCTATTGCCAACTAAAGTTGTTTTAGTCGCTAAAAGTAGTCATTTAGCAACTAAACATTTTGGTCGCCAATTAATTTTATAAATCCTTCCAAAATTCAAAATTTTCCCTCCAAATATTTTAATCCTTTGGCGATAAAAATATTTTTTGGTCGCTCAAAATAAATTTTTGGCGACCAAATTTTTGGTCGCCAAAAGTCTAAAAGTAATATTTTGTTTTTCATTTGGCGACAAAAAAATTTTAATAACCAAAACTATGTATACAATGACTAAAACATTTTTTAGTTGCCAATTGTGCATTTTTAGCTACGAAATTTTTTTTTAGTCGTCAATAATCAATATTTCCTGACTAAAAAAATTAGCAACGAAATATTATACCTTCGCCGACTAAAAAAAATTTTAGTCGCCAATTCCACAAGTTTTGGCGACTAAATTTTTTTAGTCGCCAAAAGTGCATTTTGTTGTAGTGAATTAAAATAAAGCTTACAAGGCAAGTCCTACACCTCTTAAAACCCAGCACAAAACAGGTCCTCTTCTGAGCTCAAACTTCCCTCAAAATCTCAAAACAAATCCCAAATAACCACAGCTCCAAGATAATAATGTTTAGTTAAGGGGTCTTTGTGCAAAAGTGTAGAGAAATCTAACTATAAGGCACAAAATAAGAGGAGAGAGAGAATTCTAGAGAGAGAGAGAGAGAGAGAGAGAATTTTGCTCCAAATTGTCTAACCCCTCAAAATGGGGGAGAGACCCCCCTATATATAGAAAATCAACATACAAGCTTGTATTCATCCCTTCATACACGTGTATGGAAATGAGCTTTAGTGAGCAACAGCTGGCACAACTGGTAAACAAATATCTGAAAAGGAGAAAAATGGCCGCCGGCCACCAATGAGGTCGACCGGCCATCAGTGTAGTCGACCGGCCACCACTGATGGCCGATAGGCATAAGCCTTGGCCGATGGGTTTTAGGGCTGGCCGACAGGCCACCCTCTCCCCCAGACTTGAAACAACAAGCTCTTGGTCCACAACCAAGCACAAAATAGACAAGTTTCAAAGGCTCAAAGGCAATGCACTATGCCAAGAACTTTGAGCGTCCAAAACGAACACAAACAAGGATAATCATTGTGTATTCAAACGATAACATCCAAGTCTTGAGGACGGTCAAAAATGGGGTGTCTACAACAGTCGATGATGGTTTATCCTATAAACCAGCTAATAATTTCAGTCTTGTTGGCTACTCAGATAGAGACTGGGGACGTGACTTGGATGAACAGAAAAGTACTACGGGATTTACTTTCTTTATGAGAGATGCAGCCTTCACATGGTCGTCCAAGAAGCAAGCCATTGTGACATTATCAACTTGCGAAGCTGAGCATGTTGCAGCCAACTTAGCTGTGTGCCATGCAATATGGTTACGGAACATACTGAAGCATTTGGGATTTCCACAAGAAAAACCCACTGAGATTTTTGTTGATAATCGCTCAGCAATTGCATTGACGAAAAACCCAGTTTACCATGAAAGAAGTAAGCATATTGATACCCGCTATCATTTCATTCGAGAGCACGTGAAAAAGAGAGAGGTGGAGTTACTTTCTTGCAAATCTCAAGATTAGCTTGCAAATATTTTTCACGAAGCCATTGAAAAATGACCTGTTCAACAAAATGAAGATGGTGCTTGGGATGAAGCAACATGGAGAATCAAGATTAAAGGGGGATGTTGTGAAGTAATCTTGCTTCACTATAATAATAAAATAAAACAATTTCCAACAGCCTAAGAATAAAGGTTGCAATCAAGTTTGTCAAAAGTAGAGGCTGCAATCAAGTTTGTCGTTTGAAATTCACAAGCCTGAGCCGTATTTTCATTTAATGGTTTCACATTACTAGGTTTATCTATATATAGATATTGTATTTTGATAATTTAGAGTGTGGGAGAAAGAAGAGAGTTAGAGAGTAAAATTGTGTTTTTTCTCTCCTCTGTGTATTCTACATATTTGAGTGAAATAAATCTGTTTTTCAGATTATCAATCCTCTCTTGTATTTGTTTTGTGAACCACCATAAGTGGTTTGCACCCCACTCTCACCAACAGTGTTTGGGAATTGTTTGTGTCAATGCTTATGAACTGAGTGTGGAACAATTAACTGTTCAAGAATATCTTTGCTTCAAAGAACTTGTGGATGGGAAGTGAGGAACCTCTCTTGAAATTGTTTAACGATTATGAATTTGTTGATTTCCTTGTTTGATGTGACATACTTGATAAATGACCAAAATCTCATAGATAATTGCTGTCTTTTTTACATATTTAATTTTTCACAAGTTTAATTGGAATTTGGAATTTGGAACCTGATCTAGGTACAATGGAAATTATGTGCTTGAACTTGATTTTTAGTTGTTCAATGCAACAGTTCCTAGACCAACTTAGTCATCTTCCATTGGCAATGGGGTTCAATTTCTCTATCATCACCTTTCAATCATGTTCCGTAATAAAGAAAGTTTGGAGCCTCGGCTTCATTTTCTTGGCACCCATACACATAATGGGCTTGTAAGTCTTCTTAACTTTTGGCATTGACATTTTGATCTTTGCTCACCATTCAGAAAATGAATAATAATAATAATAATAATAATAATAATAATAATAATAATAATAATAATAACACAGGATGTAACAACCCACATTTTTGTCCTAGTCATGTTGCATGCATTTATATGTTTTGCCATGTTAAGATTGCTGTAGCAACCCATATTCATGTTGTAGTCATGCTCATGTTCACTTACACAACTTTGCCTTGCTAAGTTTGCATCCCTGAATCTTGTCTTGCTTTGTGTTTATGTGATTTGTCTAAGTGTTGCTCGCATGCTTTGCTCCTTCCTTGATGTGAAGCCTAGGTCACGCCAAGCCTAGGTTATGTTACGCCTAGATCATTCCAAGTCGAGGTCATCTTAAGTCTAGAAGTATCTTGGAACCCCTTCGTTTGACCTCCACCTTTGCTTTGACATATTGGCCGAGATGTCATTATCTAGGCCGAGGTGCGAATCACCAAGGCCGAGATGTGTATTATCTAGGCTGAGATGTTACCTTTGCACCTGAGTGATCTTGTCCTGGAGTGGTATAACCTAGACCGAGGTGTGGCACATCTAGGCCAAGGTGTGGCACAGCTTAGTCAAGTGTTGTCCTTCCTAGCCAAGGTCATTGTCACCTTAGTTGTCGAAGCCTTGTCCTTAGCCGATGTCATCACTTGCCAGAGTGTCATACCGAGTAGCTTGTTAGATACGCTTTGTCAGAGTCTTGTCTTGTCAATCTATCACCTTTTCGAAGAGAACCAATCGGCCACTGCCACGTGTCCGAGCTGAGGGTTAAGTTAGCCGATAGAGAGAGGAAACCTATCATTTGTTGTATTTTGTTTTGAAGAGTAGAGAGAGAAGCTCTAGAGGAGGGAGAAGAGTTCTTGAGAGGAGATAGATTTCCAAGCTTGATCCCTAGAGATCGAACCGTTAGATCCGTGTTCTAAGGTTAGATTCTTGATCTGCTCATGTTGTTCTTTATGTTCATGTTATTGCATTGCATGATTGAATATGATTTAAAAGCCATGCATTGCTTTGAAGTTCGGTTTTAGAAAGAGAAAATGACATTCGTGTGTTCTTCAAGAAAAGTCGTGTTTTGATCCGAAGGCTCATGCCTAGATCCATGTTTCTGTGTTTGTTTTCACATGATTTTCAAGTATGGGTACCCAGGTCCATGTTTTCGAACTCATAGCATGAAATCCCAGATTTTGTAAATAAAGAAGTTATGATTTTGGCATTCATGTTCTTCATGATCTTCATGTTCACGTTCTCCCTGTTCTTCACGGGTGGAAACCCAGATCTCCAGACTTCACTTCCCGAGGTGTAGTCGCCGAGATCACTCTCACCTAGACCTCACACTTAGGCCAAGCATCATATCTCACCTTGGCCTACCTTGCATGATCACCTTCACCTTTAGTTTGTCTTGTGCGCACCTCGGCATGCAGCCGCATGCCGAAGCCTAGGTAGCCACACCTCGGCCATAAGGTATGGGACCTCGGTAAAGACCTGGTTGGTACCCAGCATGTCTTCCTGACATGTGAAACAGTGTTTTGACTTCTAGCATGTTTTCCCGAGATCATTCGCATGCATGTGAGACCTGTTTTGAGAAGTGCATTCAGTATGCTTTGTCATGTGTTTGTAGGACTTGGACCTTTGCCTTGACCCCGACGTCCCAAGAATTAATGTGAGTGGTATTTTTAATAAAGTTATGTTATAACGTTTTGATAAAGCTTTGCCTTGTTTTGATAAAAGTATTTGTTAAGCATGAATGATATCCCTATTTTATGTATCAAGTATAAGCTTTGTTTGGGTGACAATCTTTGAAAGTCCGTACGTGCCAGGGGACTTTAAGCAATTGTGGCACAAGTCCGTACGTGCTAGGGGACTATAAGCATTAGTAGCACATATGTGAAGTCCGTACGTGCCAGGGGACTTTAACCAATTGCGGCACAAGTCCGTACGTGCCAGGGGACTTTAACCAATTGTGGCACAAGTCCGTACGTGCTAGGGGACTATAAGCATTAGTAGCACATATGTGAAGTCCGTACGTGCCAGGGGACTTTAAGCAATTGTGGCACAAGTCCGTACGTGCTAGGGGACTTTAAGCATTAGTAGCACACATGTTAAGTAAGTAAGTTTTGAAGGACCAAGGTTATGCCGAGGTTATGTTATAAGATTTGACGCATGTGAAGTATGTAAGTTTTGTAAGATCAAGTTTGATGAACAAGATTTATCTCATGTTTTGTACAAGCTATGATAAGTTTGGTTTTGTCAAAGATATATATTATGTAACGTTTTGAA